GGTAATATTGTCGAAGTGTGGTCCCCGGGCCAGCAACGTCAACACCAGCTTTCACCTGGGACCTTGTTAGAAATGTGAATTACCAAGGCTTAACCAAGGCTTACTGATTAGCCACTCTGGGGGCAGGGGCAGCAACCTGGGCTTTAACCAGCCCGCCAGGTGATGCTAATGTGCACTTAAGCTTGAGAACATCGGTATGATGGTTAAGAGCTTGGATCAAAAACCTAAGGCTGCCAGAGTTCAAATCCCAGCCGTTCCGCCTGTTCGTGATGTAAGTTTCCGAGGCTCAATCTCCCCATTCATAAAATGAGGACAAACCTTCTCACCCATGTGGCTGCTGTGAGCCTCATGGTGCTAGGCAGCACGACAAGCTCGTTTTTCTTGGAGACGGCTCCTCAAGGCCCTACCTCAAGCTTCTGTCCTTCAGTGCCTCCGTGGCCCTCTGACGTCCCCCTTCTAGACCGGTTTCAAGGTTCCCTTAAACCCCTCCCACTCTCAGCTCCCCCTGCTACAACCGCCATTTCACATGATTCCTGCCATAGCCCGGTGCTGCCGCGAGCCCCCGGCCCTGCTTCCTCCCTTCCCGCTAACCTTTCACTTCGCCTATCAGAGCAGTCGCAGCCCCTCCCCCAGTTGCTATCCTTCCACAGTCCTCCCCGCCTCCCAGACCAGAGCCCCGTGCTTTCCCGGGGAACCACCCTCAAGGCTGTCCTCGCCCCCTGAATTAGGAGGGTGAGAAGGGGGCCTTACCGTTCTGCCTTCTCCCTCTGTGACAGTCCTTGGGATAACGTCCTACCTGAGTGTCAGCTCTCCCCAACTGTACCGCTGATTGACCATGTGCTTGACATATTGCAAATGGTGGACAAATCCAAAGTCCTCACCAAGGACCACAAGTCCCTACCGCCTGTCGGCCCCCCACGTCCCCTTCTGTCTTTCCTCTTTTCCCACAGCTCCTCCCCATTCCCCTCGGCTCCCGCCACACTGGCTTCCTCGCCAGCTCCCACCCCAGGGCCTTTGCACTGGCTCTTTCTGCTAGTAAATCTGCATTTGGCTGATTCTTTCACTTCCATCGGGTCTCCTCTGCTCAAAGGTCACCTTCTTAGCAAGGTTTTTCCAAACCATCCATTCTAAAATAACCCTGTCCCTTGCTATCCCTTTACCTGAGTTATTGTCCTTTGGAGAACTAATGTGATTTGGCATCACATAATAATTCTGTTATGTCTTATTGTCTCCATCGGTCCCTCAAAGGCAGGGGCCTACTGAAAGGGCCTAAAACCTTACTGCTCCCTTTCCCTTTTTCCTCCATGTCTTCTGTCACTAAATACTGAGCTCCAGCCTTGTGCCCAGCACATCTGAGGCTCCAGGGGTACGGAGGTAGGCATGATTGTTGCAAGTGCTTCTCTTGGGAAGGACTGAGCAGGGTAAGGTGGTGTGAAAAGCGGGGCCGGGGGGCCAGTCTCAGTTTACATGCCAGCTGTGTAACCTCCTCCCTGTCTCTTCGTCTGTACTATGGAGCTAATGACAGCAACTACATCACAGGGTTGGCATGAGAATTCTTTGTTCATTTCTGTGCCTGACGGATAGACAAACTGAGTAAAAGTTGGCTATTAGTCATAATAGGAAAAATAGGTCACTGCTGGAACTTAAGAAAAACCAAAATGAAAAAAAAAATCAATCAAGCCATCAGCAATTTTGCAAGTAGCCTGGTCCTTCCTACAACATACAATAGGTTTAACGCGCCATGGGTTCACCTAGAACTTCAGATCCAATCTCTCTTAAAGTTCAAGTCAGGAACTAATAGGAACAGACTCCACTGGCCTTGCTCAGCCTGTAAGGCAAGAGACTGCAGCCGGCTCTACCGGAGCATCATGCAGCCTTTGGTCTTTTGAAGCTCTGAGACGGGTGTCCCTGGCAGCAGGGTTTTGCTTTTTCACCTTTTAAATTGAGTTTATTGCAGTATAATTTGCCTACCATAAAATCCCATCACCCAGAGACTTCCCTTGGGTACCTTGGTGGTCAATTCTCATCCCCAAAATAACCACTAGTGTAATTTCTGCAAACATAGATCAGTGTTGCTTGACTTTATAATAGCAGAATCGTATGTGCTCTTTCCTGTTTTTTTACAGCTTTATTGAGGTGAAGCTGTAAAATTAATGTACATAAACTGCACCTATCTAAAGTGTACAATTTGAAGTGTTTTAGCATATGCCCCTTCCCCAAAACCATTAGCACAGGATAATTTCATGTAATGAACATACCCATCACCCTGAAGAATTTCTCACCCTGAAAAATTTCTTCTTGTACTTTTGCATTCCACCCCTCACTTCCCACCCTAACTACTGACGTGCTTTATGTCACTACAAACTAGTTTGCATATTCAAGAATTGTCGAATCACCCAGTATATACACTTTTGTGCCTGGCTTCTTTCGCTCAGTATAATTTTGATTCATCCATGTTGTTGTAGCAATACTTTATTATTTCCCACCCCCTACCCCATCCCAAGCAGCATTTTGTGGTATAGGAATACCACAGCCTGGTTATCTATTCATTTCTTGATAAACATGGAGTGTTTCCAGTTTGGGACTCTTATGGGAAAAGCCACTATGAGCATTGTTATGCAAATGTATTTGTGAACATTAAGTTTTCATTTCTCTTGGGTAAATACTAAGGCATGGAATTGCTGGGCCGTAGGGTAGTTCTATAAAAAACTGCCAAACGCTTTTCCCCTAAGTAGTTGTACAATTTTACACTCTCACCAACTGGCTGAAGTTGAACATCAATCTTGTTCCTGTCTCATGGCTTCGGTACTTGTTCCCTCTTCCTGAAATGCCTACTAGTTTTAGCACGGCTAGCTTCAGGTCTCAGCTTGAATGTCATATTCCAAAGAGACTGTTAAGATTGAATTGTGACCACCCTACCCCCCATACCCAAATTTGCATGTTGAATTTACAAGCCCCCAGTACCTTAGAATGTAACATATTTGAAGATAAGGTCTTTAAAGAGAAGAGTTAAAATGAGCCCATTAGGGTGGGCTCCTAATCCAACGTGATTTGGGTCCTTCAAGATTAAAAGATAATCCAGGAAAGGTGCTGTGAGGACACAGTCAGAAGGCAGGCACCTGTAAGCCAAGGAGTGAGGTCTCAGGAGAAACCAAACCTACCAACACTTTGATCTTGGACTTCTAGTCCCCAGAACTGAGAGAATAAATTTGTTAAGCCACCAGTCTGTGGTATTTTGTTATGGCAGCCCTAGCAGACTAATACAGAGGCTTTTCAATCACCATTTTGCAACCATTATAATAATAATTGATACCAGCAAGAAGCATCAATAAATGCTAAAACCAATCAGTAAGAGTCTGGTAAAGAACAGGGTAGTGTCCAAATATTTTCCTACAAGATACTAAGTTACAAAGGAAAAAATAATTAATTTTTCTGTGGAGTACCATGGCAGACACCACCTTAATCATATGGTCAAAGTTAACATCACAAATATTGGGACAGACCAATGCCATGTACCTCCCATTGTGATACGCTGAGGATACAACTTTCTGTGGTATCAGTAACAAAACACATAACCTGAATCTAATCATGAGAAAAGATCAGACATCCATATTTAGGGACATCTACAAAAGTATTTTTCAGTACTCTTGAAAAAATGTCAAGGTCATGAAAGACAAAGAAGGGCTAAGTAACTAAGTGCCTTTCCATATTAAAGGAAGCTAAAGAGACAGGACAACTAAATGCAACAAGTGTTCCTGAATTGGAGCTTTGGGAATACCTTAAAGGATGTTATTGGAACAATTAGTAAAATTTAAATATGGAAGGTATATTAAATAAAAGAATCATATCATTATTAAGGGCCCTGATTTTGATCATTGTACTGAGATTGTGCACGAGAATGTCCTTGTTCCCAGGAAATACACAGAGTATATGGTGAGGAAGGGGTATGTCTGAAACTTACTCTAAAATGATAGTTAAGGAAAAAACAAAATTTGTTTTATATGAACACACAGAACATAATAAAATTGCAGCAAAATGTTTGTTATTCTTATTGAAAAGTATATGAGATTTCTTCACTATTCTTACAAATTATACATATTTAAGAATATGTAAAATTCTTGAAATTTTACATACAGAAAAAGTTAGTCTTTAAGTGACCACACTATCAGAAGTGGCCTGTCCCCAACCCCCAGGCACTTTTTAATTCATTCGTTTTCTCCATTGCATTGTCAAAGGTTATCCTGTGCTTTTAATACCTGACTTGTGTGCAAGGCCCTGTCCTAAGCGCTTTAACTATGTAACCTCAGTGAATCCCACTACTGTCCTTCTCACCTTACAGATAAGGAATGGAGACACAAGAAAATTGATTAACTTGCCCAAGGTTACCTACAGTATTTGTCTCCCGTGGCACAGAACCTCAGCTAAGGTAGAAACTGTTGTTCGCTGCTCTTTCCCCAGCGATTTAGAAGGGTGCTCAGCGCACAGGAATTTAATAAGTATCTGTAGATTCAGTTAACAAATATTGGGCATATACTAGGCATTGGGGTACAAAGCAATGAACTAAATATTTTTTTAAAATCCATGCCACCCTGGGAGGTGAGGCTCAGTCTACCTATCCTGTCGAAGAGGAAAATGAGCTTGGCTCTGAGAAATATTTACCCAAGATCAAGGGACTAATTGGAGGCAGGGTGTCGATTCCAACCTAGTCCGGGCGGTTTCCAGGAACGAGCTAAGAATCAATCAAACCGACAATCCAGTCAACCAATCAGTATTTATTGGGCACCTACTGCGTGCAGTTCATCCTCACGCAGCACTGGCGAGAAGAGGACGCTGCGGTGCGTAGGCGGCTGCGGAGACCCGGGGGCCTCAGCGGACCGCGGGAATTTGGCGCCTACTTTTTGTAGGTTTGGTGTTCTCGCCTGTGATTGGGCCCGGTCTGCGGCTGCTCCGTCGACCTTGGCAGAACCCGGGAGATTCGGTCTTCGACCGGCCTCCGGGGAATGGGCCACCAGGAGCCCCTGCTGGCCCCAGTGCCCGCGGGAGGTGCGCTTTATATAAAGAGGTTATGTAAAGGGATCAGCTGGCGCGAACACGTGGAGAGCCGTGGGTGCCTGGACGCAGAGTTCCCCCCCGCGCGCGCCGCTGCAACCTCCAGTGAAGCAGCAAGTTCCGGCGCACGCCGGCCGCGGGCCACTGCCTTTCGCGCTGCTCGGTACCGAAAGCAGCCTTGTCCGGGAGCGGACCATCCCCAACCAGAGGCTCCAGGGGGGAAAACGATTGCCCGGAAGTGGAGGGGCTCAGGCCAGGTAGGTACGGGTGCGGCCTGCGGAGTAAAAGTGCGGAAGCTAGAGCTACCCTCACCGCTTCGGGCCCTTGATAAGGACAGCTGGGCCCCGGGTTTGGCGCGCCCAGGAACGCGGAGGTTTTAAGCCCACCCTTCCACATGCCACCCTCGGGGACTTGGGTCGGTCCGCTGGGCACCGCTCGGACTTAATTCAATGGACGGTTTACACGCTGGAAAACACTAGGCGGGACGCAGAGAGGGGGACTCCCATTGGGAGCTAGGCAGGAAAAAAGATGTTCACAGTGCTAATTGCTTCTTAGAGCGATTTTAATAAATCATGGAGACTGTTAGTCCTTGTTCTTACAAGTCCTATGTGATAAATTAACTGAGAAGGTGTGTGTGAGGGTGTTACTTTTCTTTCCGGTTCCCCTCTGAGCCACTGCTTGTGGTTTCGTCTTTCCCGCTTTCCCCTCCCCTCCCTGGTTGTTTCAGCAGCAAAGGTTTCCGTCTTAAAGGGGCCGTGGCTGCCGGAGGTGGAGGAGGAGGAGGAGGGGGAGGTGGGGAGCTCTGTGGCCTGCGCTCCTTGTCTCCCCGCCTTGGCCTGGTCGTTTAATCGATTCTTTCACCCGCAGATCACAATCCAGGCTCCCGCTCCTCCGCGTCCCGGGGCTGGACGGAGGGATGAGGCAGGGGGGGCCCGGGCAGCGCCGTTGCTGCTCCCCCCGCCGCCCGCAGCCATGGAAACGGGGAAGGAGGACGGCGCCCGCAGAGGTACACAAAGCCCCGAGCGGAAAAGGCGAAGCCCAGTGCCGCGGGCGCCCAGCGCGAAGCTGAGGCCGGTGGCTGCGGCCCAGGCCATGGATCCGGTGGCGGCCGAGGCCACCGGTGAGGCCTTCCTGGCGCGGCGGCGGCCAGAAGGCGGCAGCGGGTCCGCTCGGCCGCGCTACAGCCTGTTGGCGGAGATCGGGCGCGGCAGCTACGGCGTGGTTTATGAGGCAGTGGCCGGGCGCAGCGGGGCCCGGGTGGCGGTCAAGAAGATCCGCTGCGACGCCCCGGAAAACGTGGAGCTGGCCCTGGCGGAATTCTGGGCCCTGACCAGCCTCAAGCGGCGCCACCAGAACGTGGTGCAGTTTGAGGAGTGTGTCCTCCAGCGCAACGGGCTAGCCCAGCGCATGAGCCACGGCAACAAGAGCTCGCAGCTTTACCTGCGCCTGGTAGAGACCTCGCTCAAAGGTAGGAGCACTGCGGGCCATCTGCCTGCGTAGGGTCTGGACCCAGTGCTGTGGACGGCTCGGCCCAAAGTGATCTCGGGACCGCTAGGCCCTTGTTCTGTCACCTTGGGCCCAGACACACCCTCCTTTCCGGAGCCCAGGCATTGGGGCCCTCGTCTCAGCCGTGCATCTAGGATGAGTCCTTGGCACAAACGTTACCTGGTATTTTCATAACAAGCGCTCGCTAAATACTAATCGTTGTCTTAATCGGTCAATACGTGTGAGCCATTATTATGAACTATAATAGGTCGGGGAGAGGAGGGGGGTTGGGTTCAGGGTTGGTGGAAGCCCCCTCACTAACTCTCTAGGGCCTCTTCCCCTTTCCCTCCCAAAGCAAACAAAAAGAAAAAACTTAACTGGACCTACCCGCACTCCCTCCCTGTCTGGTTCCAAATATCCTCACAGCCCCCTCCCCCAACTCCACCCGCCAAACTGGCTTCCTAGTCTTTTCTCCTGAGACCACCAGCCCTTCATCCCATGGCAGTCAAGCAAACTGTCGGTTTTCTGGCCAACTCCTCTGGGGCCTGCAGAATAATAACCCCACAGGTGGGCCCAGAGCTGTCACATAACAATACCTAACATCTTTTTCGTCCACTTTACAGTCTTAATTTATTTCTTTATCCTCTGAGGCTGGCATGAAAGTGGTTTTGTTTCTGAGGACTCAGAGAGGCAAGGGGGCTTTGCAGTCCTTGGGAAAAGCTAACTCTAGTTTTTCGAGTTTTCACTGCAGTTAGGGGGTGTGCTTCTCCTGAGTTCCTCAGGCCTCACATACCTTGTTCATGCCAAACGAAGCCAAGGATTTGTTCAGAGAGAAGGCCAGTGGGCTAGGAGGGTCCGAGCAGACTTCAGGGGAGAGCCTACTAATCTGAGTCCCAACTATGTCCTAGATATCTTCCAGAAGTGACTTTTAAGTAATAATTCTAAAAGTCAGTCCTCCCCTCTTTCTGTAAATGGCGAAATTAAGAATTAAACATGAACAAATGCAAGTTGATGAAGGTTAATCAGCTTATAAGGGAAGTCACATTGTGCTCCTGGTTTCTTTTTACTTTTTATAGATCAAGTGGTGTGAACCCTGATTTATCTGGATTCAAGGCCTAGGTCCTTTCAAATGGGTAATGGTGCCCTTCCTACCCCAGGAGGAACTAGAGCTGACCTTTAAGAACGGGTAGGATTTGGGGTGGAGTTGGATAGGACATTTGTTTGGAGATTTTGCCTGACTTTAAGAGCCAACAGGCACATCCCAAGAGAACTCCCTGTCCCATTTCAAGTCATTGTTTGACACTGAGTTAAGGAACAGGATGAATATTACCTGGGGTCCTTTTTCAAAATAGGCTTTTGCTTTTTATGTTTATGTCCATCCCTGCCCCATCTATCCAGAAAAGCCCACCCTCCCCCCAGTGGGGAATATATTTGTTTTGAAAAGACTTTCCAGTAGATTTTTTTTTTTTTTAAGCTCACCTATATTTTATAAGCTCTTCACTTCTTTCTCAGACTGTCTTCTCCTCCACTATGGTTAATGAATGGTCCGGACCTCAGTATTACCTCGCTGCCCTGAGATGTGGGAATTTGCTTTGCCAAACAGTCCCCTTGTGCTCTACGTTCATTGATGCCAGTCTTGAAACTACAACCTGGGTTTGAAGTTGTTTTTTGTCCCTACATATAAATACAATTGACCCTTGAATAGCACAGGGGGTTAGGGGTGCTGACCTCACCCCCCACACACAACCAAAAATCTGTGTATAACTTTTGACTCCTCCCAAACTTAACTAGTAATATAGCCTGCTGTTGACCGGAAGCCTTACTGATACATAAACAGTCACTAACATGTATTTTGTATGTCATATATATAATGTACTGTATCCTTACAGTAAAGTAAGCTAGAGAAAAAATGTTAAGAAAATCATAAGGAAGGAAAAAAATATATTTACAGTATTTATTGGAATAAGTCTGTATAAGTGGATCTATGCAGTTCAGGCTCTTGTTTAGGAGTCAACGGTACTGTTAAAACTTTCTCCACCTGTAGAATTTGTTACAACTCCACAGTAAACAGTAGGCTTTGGAGTTAGACTCAATTTTAGACCTGGCTTGTCTAAACTGACTGCATGAGATTGGGACAAGTAGCTTCAAACTGGGGGGAGCATTCCTTTATCCCTCAGATAAGGGTACCTATGTCATAGGGTTGCTGCTGTGCAGCCTGGGAGTGCCAGTAAGTGCTCCAGCTCCAGACAGGGAGGAATTCACTGCCTCAGGAAGCTCAGGCTATATTCTGAGTCTTCTACCATCATCACCTTTGAGATTCACATTGTTCTTGTTCAAGTTTCGCAGACCGGTTTGATCATGGAACACATCCTACTTCCTGTGTTGTCAGGACACCAGGTTGACAGAAACGCTGGTATTTTCTTCCTTCCTTTGGGAACTAAAGCAGGTCTAGTGAAATGAAATATTTTGCTTTAGATCACATACCTTAAAATGCTCCTTTCCATAGTTTAGAGTCTTAACTATTTGAGCCTCTGTTATGGGTCAGGTAGTGTTCTGGGCTGGGAAGAGGGAGGCCATGGCTTTAGTCTTTAATGCTCTGCTTATGAAACTAATGATGAAATTTACATGTCAAATGTTACTTTAGAAAGCAGTAAATAGACATGGGCGGGTCGCTATTAATATTAAAGTGGAGAACAATGTTTTTGCTATTGATATTAAAGTAGAGAACAAAGACCCAAATTACTCCATTTTCCTGGCTTCAGCTTCCAAAGTTTCACAGTCTTAATCTGCCCTGGGGTTCTGATTTTACAACATTCTGATATTATTCAGAAATGTTAGAGCTGGAAGGAATCTTAGAGATAATCTGGTTCAGCTCTGTCATTAAATAGATCCTTTGCAGTCACCTTTTTCCAGTCTTTGGCAATTTAGGATAATTTTGAGATCAAAAAGTGTTAATCCGCCTTAAAGTCTCAACTGAACCAAATCTACCTATGGGCATACTTCAGAGATACTGCAGTTGGTTCCAGACCACCACATTAAAACCAGTCATAATCTTTTTGCTGGTGGAGGGTTTTCAGGTGGTTAACAAAAAAAAGGAAAATCTGTGAGGCATACTATAATGAAGAGCAGTAAAATGAGGTATGCTTATACTTTTACTGAATCCCTGTTGTGTTCTTTATCTCACCTGTGTTTTATAAGCTCTTCACTTTATTCTCAGACTGTCTTCTTGTTTTGGTTAAAGAATGGTCTGGACTTGCCCCAAAGGAACTTAATTTGCAAAGTTTGAAGACCTGTAGAAGACTTAAATGCTAATCAGGGTCACAGGAGGAAAAAGCATATTGGCTCATTAACAAGGGCCTTGTACAGAATGTTGTACAGAATTAACAGGAATGAGAATCAGACGTTGATAGAGAAGATGGGCCTGAAAGAAGGAAGTCTAGGAACATGTGGATAGGTAGGGAAGACAGAAGGTAGAAAAATTTATTTCACAGTTGGGCCAAATAGAGACTAATGTCCCCTACTCCCACCCCCATCAGCATCAACTCCCTAGTGAATAGTCAGAAGGCATTTCTATAGTCATAACAAATTATTTGACATGTAAATAATCCAATATCCAAAAGAGGAGGGAAACTTCTTAGTGTGGTTCTTGGTCTTCTCCAACTACATTAAATAGACGTCTATCTCTGTCCTTTCTTTCTCTCTCAACATACGCCAACTAAGTCCTACCCAGAGCATTATGTAGACAACGGAAGCTTCAGAGTCGGTAGCGGTCTTAGATGTCTGGTCTGGCCTTCTGTTTCACAGGGAAGAAAACTGAAGCCCATGCAAGGCACAGGACTTGTCCCAAAGGAGCTAGTGGTAGCGTTGAAACCAGCCTCCCTGGCTTTTTAAAGCCAGAGTAGCAATCCTCTAAATTATTTGGTTGATGAGTGGGTGTCTACTTAACTTTGAATACTTTTCACAGAAAGGCGATAAGGCATTGACAGTTCATTTTTACCCCTCCATTTCCATTGCTAAAGGACCCTGTCCTAAAAGCACCTAAAACTAAGTTCAAAAGTATTGTCTCTTAGAAGACTGCAGGCAAGCCCAAGCTTATTACCAAGCTCAGAAATTCTGGTGCTCTCTCTAAACTCTCTAAAGTGTACACTGATCCTTAGGAGAAAAAAAAAAAACAAAACCCTAACACGGACCAAACCAGGACACACTCTCAAGGCTCATGAAACCAAATTAGAAAGTTGGGAACTTAGATTATCTGACCTCAGTAAACACCAGATCGCCTGTACCAATTATTTGATGTTTGTTGTTCTCAGGTTACCTTTAGGTGGCTTGCCATGGGTGGGAATCTCGGCCCCCGGGGGACAGTCTTGTCTGCATCGATGCCCAGCGATGACTGTGAGCCAGACACTGTATTATGAGAGGCTATGCAGAGTTTCATCATTTGGGCAAAAGAGATAAGCCCAAACGACCATAGCACAAGGTCACAAGTGATGGGTGCTCTAGAAAACAGTAGAGAGGCAAGGGAAAACGGGGAAGGAAGTAGGCTTGGTAAGCTGAGCCTGGAGTAGCAAGGGGAAGGAGACCAGGGTCTCCACAGTGGATTCGTTGTCAGCCTGCAGACTGTCCCCAGCCCCTTGAATGCCTAGGCAGACCTTACTCTCAGCACTGGGCCACCCCTGCCCAGGCCTCTGATAGGCAGCCCTGAATTCTCTGCTGTAGCCTGGGGCCTCAGAGTTTGGAGATCCCCCAGGTAAAGGCAGAGAACTGGATGGCGATCTTTGGCTATGGTGACAGTGACATAGATATAAGGTGGCATTAGGGGCTTTGGAAATTAGTGGGATACAGTGGAACACTGGTATTGACCTGGAGTCAGGAGGTCTTGGTCCCAATGTCACCCTGCTAGTAAGAGCTACCCTGCTAGTAAGAGCTAGAGCTACTGATGGCGGTGTGCCAGGCCTGTTCTAAAGGTCTTATACCTATTAGCTG